CTTATAAACATTTCTAAATCATAAAACTACTAAAAAAATAGAAACAGCAATTCAACAACATCTAAAAGAACATTTTGATATAGCCAAAACTGTTTCAGCTACAGAACTGTCAAATGATCACATCTTTTTGTATAGTTTAATTTATCAAAATACCTGTTTTTTTAGCAATAAATTTAAGTAGATTTGACCATATTTTTATTTCTGTTTTAGAAAAGACCACTCTCCAATTTTTTGTAGTAACTATAGCTTAACTATTCAGGACAATTTCTAAAAAAAAAAAACCGAGCTACATTTTTTGTGATTGGACTCGCCCCAGTAAAATTGTGGTAAACATTCAAATTTTAGGTGTTATGCTTGTTTTTAAATATTTAAAGTTGTTTCATTGGATTCGTTGGCCCAAAATATGTAAAGGTACAAATTTTCAGCACACATATAACAAAAACTAGGACCAAAACCATTTTTAAAAATGGCAGATTTTTGTTGGTTGGAGGCAAACTTAAAATAGCTATATCTTAGGAACCGATGGAAATTAGACGATAAAATTTTCAGGATGTTCATAGTTTACTAAAATCTTTAAGTAGTTTAAAAATCGGCAAAATCTGAGACTTAGGGTTGCATGCCCTGGATGTTTTACATGGAATCTCCCATTATTTACATTAAAAAAAAAAAAAAGATTCAGAATATATAATAAGGTGATCAACAACTTTTTTTTGTAATATAAAAATCTTAATTTTATTTAGTTCTTGCGCTCTATAAAAAAACATTCTTATGTTTAGCTTACTATAAAATTTGCGCTCTATAAAAAAACATTCTTATGTTTAGCTTCCTATAAAATTTATAGAAAAGTTATACGATTGATAATAAACGCTATTTTAAAAAACAAATTAAACAATAACAAAAAATATTAATTCAAAAAAAAAATTCTACAATGACATCATTTACTAGAACTCTTTGGAATTAAATGCGTTTAAATAAATTCTGTAGGTTGCGGCGTATATTATAAAGACTTTAAGAGAATTGCTACTGTGGAGACAGGAAGTTTCGAGTAAAACAACAAAGTTTGTTTTTGTTGGTATACATATATTATTTTGTTTTTCTTAAAAAAACCTAAGATCTCTTTTTTTTAAAAAAATTTAGCAATGCTAAATTTTTTTTTAAAAAAGGAGATCTTAAGTTCTTTTAGGTGACAATTTTCATTAAACTTAATGAGCTATTTTGATTTTTTATTTAACATATGACTCTGCAAGGGAAAATTTTGATTTTTTTTGTTTTGCACATTAGTGAAATTTAGCGTTGTGTAATTTATGGATGATCTCTTATTTAAAAGTTTAGATAAAGGATCAGCCAAAAAGTATATAAAGCCAAAAAATAATTGAGTATAATACTATTTTATTGGTTATCTAAATTCTGTTGTTGTTGCGCACTCGGTTTAAAATATTTAACGGGGGCATGGTAAAACAGCTGTAAAACTCTGAATTTCTTTACTGTATCAAAATTAATTTTCTTAAATTAAACCATTTTATAAAATTAAATACTTTTAATGATTTTTAAAAATATTTAATTTAATAAAATGGTTTAATTTAAGAATAAAATTAGAATTTTCAATTATGTTTTTATATAAAACATACTTTTTAAACCCTTTTACTGTTTTAAAAAGGTGAGATTGCAGGGTGGCAAGTTCAAATCATCAGCATGCTTTATACAGTTCTATAAATTTTATATTCTATATATAAACAGGTTACATACTCATTTTTCTTGCATAATCTCAACTTTGTTGTAAAAAAAACTTGAAATGTAAAACTAAAAAAACATAAGTATCTCAATCATGACACATTGGCAACATATATCCCCTTATTTTTTAATGTTTTTAGAATTTTTAGCTTTTTCAAAAATTTTTGGTTTTTAAAAAAACTAAAAATTGTTTATTAAAGTGTATAATATTGTTAGATATGTTTTTATATAATCTTTATAAAACTTCACAAGTATTTTGTATTTTAAAAATCTAAAAAAATTAAAAAAAAAAAGACTGTGAGTGGTTGGACTCAAAACACAGTTTTTTTGTACAGAAGCTCAGCACGCTAACTACTCAGCCATGCTGGCACTTTGACAATTGAAGTTTTAAAACTATATAAAGAATTTTTCTAACGAAAATTAATGCTGTAGATCAAAAATTAAGGAGAGTTTGACGCAATGTAATTAAGCAAAGTAAAGCTGTAATACTTGATATATGTTTTAGTATGTTTTAACATTACATAATTTGAAGTTTGCGTACGTTAGAAATATGCATACACTTTTGTTACGTTTTCTTAGAAAACAAAGCTGCTGCAACTCTTTCTTGCCATTACCTCCGTTGCAATGGCTGCCAAGAGTTCTGTGTCAAACAGGTTCAAAAGGGTTCACTACTACTACTTATATACTGATGTATATTAGTAAAAATGCGTTTGTTACACCAGTAAAAATCAGATCATGAAGGCATTTGCCTTAATGATCAGATTTTTACATTTAGACTACACCTTATATGTGTTGAGAATACACCTAATATGCGGTAGTGGTGTTGTCGTAGAGTGCTCACTTTATAAGCGAGAGGTTTCGAGTTCGATTCCCACCACATCCCTGGTAGAACCGCGCTCAACTTGTTTCTTCGCACAGCGGCCTTGTTCCTCAAGTTCGTGTTTTGGAGTTATAGAGTTAAGAGAGGGTTATAACCACGAGTAGCTTCCTCATCTGTAGTGGCCTTCTCGGCCTTGGGGAGGTGAATTACAAAAAAAAAAATAGTTTTGTTTAGCTTCAACTTTTTTAATAAATAGACTTTAATATAAGCTTGACCAATTTAAAGAAATCAGTAAAAATATTTAGTTTGTTAATTTATATTTGACGCAAAAGTATTTGATATTCGAATGTTTTGAATTTTAATTGATGTTTTTTGAATATTCATTAATAAATGGAATGTGATTAAAGCTATAAATAAAGTTTTAGTTTAATAAATTATTATAAATACAATATTATGCTAGATATTTATTTTTTAAGCATATTTTTTAAGTTAGGCCTTGTTTTTAAGTTTAGAATTTTTATTGAAGTGTTGCAAGTTTTTTTTTGTTTTACTACATTTATGTAAGTAAAACAAAATTTTATGCAATTCAAAGCTAAAGTTCTAGTTAAGCGAAGTTTTTTATATATTGATAGATCCATAAAAACATAGATACATCCATAAAAACATAGATAGATCTAAAAAAAACTCTTCGAGTTAGCGAATGGTTTGACTTAACCATAAATATATGATAAAGTTCAACAGGAATTTAAAAAAAAAACGTCATGTTGAATTTAACTTTTAAATAAAAGAAATGAATCATTCTCTCTTGCACTTTAATTTTTAATTTTAATTTATGCATGATGTACTGTATAATGAATATAACTCTGTTGGTATTATATAAGTATTATTTAACAATATGCATATATATACTGTTTAATTAAATATTTTAACTTCACAAAAAAATTTTACTTAATTATTTTCTATAAAATCAACTTATAATTTTCCCTCGCAAGTTCTTTCTCCCCAGATTAAAGGGTATAACGGGCAGATTAAACTTTTAAAAATAAAACCTATTTAAAACCAGAAGTATGAAATAAAGGCATTTGGTATAGTGTCTATTAAAAGTCATGTTTTAACAAAGCAGGGCCTTAGCTAGGTTTGTGCAGCCGGCATTTGATCTTTTTAAAAGGTCAAATCTTGTCACATAGGACCTCATTTACTTATCTTGCATTGAAGCATCTGAATTTTTTTTATTTATTATCCTATGATGAGGAAAATTCAAGAGATCTTAGATGGCCACACTGTAATATACAAAAAAAAAACAATGTATTCCAGCTATATATATATTTTTAAAGAAATTACTTTTGCTAATAAAGAATTTTTTTTCAATGGAATGGTGAGGAGAGTTGTGTCTTAATAAGATGATGTAAAAGTAAAGTCAAAAGCGGCTGATTGATTAAATGCAATAGTCCTCGGTTGATTGATTAAATGCAATAATTCTAGCTTATATGAGAGGTGTCTTTTACTCTAATAATTTATTTAAGTTTACATTATCATTAAAGTTTATGTTACATTGTCATTAAAGAATTTTTATTTTAAAACTAGTAGATGATGCAATGTAGCAGTTTTAAAGTGTGTTCATTTCTTTTACATAAATAAAAAATTTCTGTTGAAAAATAAACAGGTTACATTAGTTAACTTATTTCATCTCTAATATTTAATAAAAGAACGTTAGGTATTTTTTCGTGAAATTAAAAAAAAAAAAAAAGTTCATGTTTAGACTTTTTATAAGTACTTAGACTTTTGAATATTATATATAATAATAAATATGAAGATATGTGATTTATTAATTAGATAAGATGTAAAGAATGTTTTCAGTGTCGTTGAACTACAAAAAAGTTTTTTATTATTTGCAAAATAACTCTTAGATATAGTTATTTAGTTAGTATTTTCTAGTTTGGTGTTTTAAAATTGTTTAATTCTGTTACATTTAAAGCATCTATTGAAATACAATAAATACAATACAAATTATGTTCAAAGTTTGGATCAAATAGTTGAAATAGAATATTCAACGAATTAAGTAATTTGTTATGATTTGCTATATTACATAAAAAATTATAAAAATGTGACATCTTTCTAAACAGGTGATATTACCTCACTAAATAGGTTAATGTGAGTCTATTAACCAAGATTTAAGTAATATTACTTGGACACAAAGATTATTATGAATAACTTTTTTTTATATGTAATCAGTAAGAATAATTCCCAATTATGATTTTAAAATAGTTTTCTGTAAAAAAAAATATTGTTTTGCTATATTTTTTTATTTGGGGGAGAGTAGATTTTTTTTTTTTTTAATTTTTTTTTTGTCTTAGCTTTTAACTTTTTTACTTTCTTTTATTTTATTTTAATTGATCTAAATTATTAAAGATAAATTAAAACTTTGTTTAGATTGTAAAATTATTTTTAGATTTCATTCTTACCATACAACTTGGCTTTGATAAAGTATATGATATTTTTAATGTTTATTGGATCATGTTTGTACTCATTTAATGCTTTTAAACATATATTTCATGGAGGTGTTGGAAAAAATGGAACAACTGTTGCTGTATGACAAATTTTATTTTTTTAAATAGTTTCAAATATAAAATTGACATAGTAAAAATTTTGATAACTCTGATAGGACTGGATTCTGTTTTTAATTTGATAATTTGTCTTTAAAAAAACTTAATAAGCATGTTCTACCATTGATGGCTTTATTTTATGATCTTTTTTTACATCATCTGTTGGACATCTTTTATCCGATACACCTATATCATCTGTTAGACATCTTTTATCCGATACACCTATATGTATAATTGTAAATATGTATAATTTTAAGTTAAATTAAAATAAGCAAATTGTTAAAAAATCCTTTTTTTTGCCTTAAGATATAATATATTGCATAAATTGATTTAATTTTAATTTATTGATATTTTTAGCAAACTAGTGTTCTATCACCAATCGTGCCACTTGGTATTGTGATATCATGTGCTTTTTATGTTTTCAAGCATAGTGGTGAAAATATATTTGAAAATCATCCTATACTCTTTATGCTTATGTTTGGTACATCTTCAGCTAAACTGACCTGCAATCTAATTGTAAGCTAATATAATATATATATATATATATATATATATATATATATATATATATATATATATATATATATATATATATATATATATATATATATATATAATATATATATATAATATATATATAATATATATAATATATATATATATATTATATTATATATATATATATATATATATATATATATATATATATATATATATATATATATATATATATATATATATATATATATATATATATATATATATATATATATATATATATATATATATATATATATATAATATATATATATATAATATATATTATATATATATAATATATATTATATATTATGTATTATATATTTTATATATATATATATATATATATATATATATATATATATATATATATATATATATATATATATATATATATATATATATATATATATATATATATATATATATATATATATGATGACGCTGATCACAATGGATCAGCGAAATATCGAAATAATTATATATTAAAGAAAAAATTTATATATATTTAAAAAAAAAAATGTTTATACGCAGCCGTATTTATTGAATTCTAACCATATTTGAACGTATAACAAGAAAATGACATTCAAAGATTATATATATATATGTATATATATATATATATATATATATATATATATATATATATATATATATATATATATATATATATATATATATATATATATATATATATATATATATATATATATATATATATATATATATATATATATATATATATATATATATATATATATATATATATATATATTGGAAATAGTGTCAACCTAACTGCCGATCTATAGTTAAAATAATTTTTTTTTTTAAAAAAAAAAAATATTTTTAAACACCAAGCAAACCTGGGTAACTCTAATAGTCCATTTCATATGCCAATTGTTATTATATGTATATAATAATTTTAGGTTGCTAGTATGTCAAAAAGTACTCTGGACATGCTTGACTTTTGCATGATGGGACCTATAATTTTGTCCGTTTATGTGTACTTTGGAATCGAAATTTACGCTTCATACGTCAATATACCAATTTCTGAGTATTATATTTTGCTGTTGGGATTTGTAAGTAGTTATCATTGTTTTACTTTCTTTTTTATCGGTAATTTCTTTTCTACGGACGGATGCTTGTAAACGACCTTTATAAAATTTTGTTTTATGTAATTATTTTTAGTTATATACGATCTCTAATTTTGTGATCTACTGTGTACGTATATGTAAAGAAATTAGTGCAAACTTTGGCATTGCAATACTGACAATACCTTACACAAGAAAAGAGAATTAAGTATCTAGAACTAGAAATTATATTTTTTACTTTAATCTTCATTCTTAAAACGAAATAAATATAATTGTGTATTAATAAATAAATTATTATAGTATTGTTTTTCCTTTTAAAAGCATTAACGTGAATAGAATCGAATTTTTTCGGTTCACTTTAAATATTTCATAATTTAAGACCATCCAATTTGCTGTTAAAACCGGTGTGGCGTTAAAATACTGCGCGAAAACTTTAACCATTTTAAACTTTCCTCGCGCTAAAATATTGTTGAATTTTATTTTTTTTAATAACAAACTGTTTTAAAACATGCGGAATACTAATATCCAAATATAAGAGCCATGTCAATTATTTCCGTTCTGTAAATGACTACACTATATCAATTCTAATAAAATTTACAGTACCAAGAATTTCTGAATTAGTAGTCTATGGTCGTTTTTTGTCATACCACTTTTGGTGAAATAATTTTCCCTACTACCACCCACTTAAAGGCTGAAACAAGATTGTAAACATAGTTTCCTATCTAAACACGCATTTTTGAAGAAATTATATTTTTTTTCATCAGTAAGATCTAGCATAAAAGGAATCTTTGTCAGGGGCGGATGCAGCATTTTTTGATGTTTGAGATACCTAACTTCCAGACATAGAGCAAACTCCAAAAATTTATATGTTTATACTTACATCAAATAAGGCAATGGCAACAAAAAATTGCAATGATTGGAGCCTGGGAACAAAAAAGTCCTAAAATTTTAGCTACACCTGCACTAAACGTGAGAGCAACAAGTTGATAAAATAATTTTTATACTATTCTTAACTAAATCTATATTCATCGACAAATTTTAAAATTCACACAAAAATCTTTTAGCGTTCAAAAACTATGACATAAAGTCTTTATCCCCCTCAGTTTGAGGGGGCTGAAAATTTTATAAAGCTATAACTGTTGAACGCTAATAGATTATTGTGTGAGTTTTAAAATTTATCGATGAATATATATACTTCGTTAAAAATAGTCGAAAAAATTTTTTATCAACTTGTTGCTCTCACGTTTGGGGCAGGTGTAGCTAACATTTGAGGGCTTTTTTGTTCTCAGGCTAAAATTTTAGGGCTTTTTTTGTTCCCAGGCTCCAATCATTGCAATTTTTTGTAAAGTATCTTTATTTGACATAGGTATAAACATATAAATGTTTGGAGTTTGCTTCATGTCCGGAAGTTAGCTATCTCAACGACCAAAAAATGCTGGATCCGCTCCTGCTTGTTTTTCGGCAAATTTCTTTCAAGGGACGTTTTGTGGAGTTAAGGCGGCTTTGAAATTTTTTTTATCACCACATTCTGAATATAAATTATAAAAATTTGAACTATTTAAAAAAACGTTTTTTCCAACAAATTTTTTGTGATCAAGTCAAGAGCATTTCTTCTGTAATGTCAATTCATTTTCTGTTCCTTGATAAGCATGTGAAATAAGATACGAAGCATTTCATATCAATTCATCCATGAAAAAGTCATTTACCCTTTTTTTCTATCATCTTTTTCAAAAAATTTTAAGAGTATTTTCTAGCTAACAAAATAATTTAATACATGCTTTCTGTCATTATATATATATATATATATATATATATATATATATATATATATATATATATATATATATATATATATATATATATATATATATATATATATATATATATATATATATATATATACACATGTTTCTTTTGTGAACTAACTCAAGCTTCTTTATCATAAACAGAATTGAAATTGAATCGGTGAATGTTAAAAGGATGGAAGTCCAACAATGTCAATTTTCGGAAATCAAAGAAAAACTGCATTTTCTCCCATAGTAAATTTTTGTTAATGGTTCAATAACTTTTTTTCTGAAGAGGATAATGTTTTTTACCTTCAAAAAAAAAAAAAATTAAACCATTAACAAAAATTTATTTCTGGGGGTAATGCAATTTATTTTAGTTTTCCAAAAGTTTACATTGTTGGACTTCCGCCCTTTTAACATTCACCGATTCAGTTATCACAATTTTCACGATCATCTCAATGATTTTTACATTGGTAGAAAGGATTGTTGGTTATATATAAGATAAAATAATAAGTATATAACATCAACATGTAGTTAAATAATGAATACGGCTATTGGCTTGTCGATAGTAAGCCAATATTACACGTTGCTGAGTATGTGTAGTTTAATATAATGAAATGAATACAATGTTAACTTATGACCTTGGTAATTGATTGGCATTTCAAACAACTGTGTATGCAAATTACTTTTTAGAGTAACACCGCGACTAAAGCTGCTGTTTTGTTTCAAAAAGGTTTAGTTTCAGTTCATTGAAAAGGTTCATGTAGATCATTGAGTAAATTAATATTTAAAAAAAAAAATTCCTACCATAATAATGGCGGGTGACACTTTTTAAAATAACTTTTAATTTATGTAACATTCTGTGGTTTACAATAATGCTAACACTTTGCTAGAATGGAGTTTTTAGTTTTAACATTTAACTAAGTAAAGAAAAAGTTATTTAATCATCAAAAAGAATTTCAAGTAAAATCTAAAGATATCACAAAATTTTAAAATATAATGGTTTGGCATCACATACGTCACCAGGCAACCTGATTGACAAAATAATAACTAAAATTAAAGGCAAACCGAGTTCAACCTGAGTTCGTGAAAAAACGTTTAAGACCATTGGATGCATGTTTTGATTTCACTGAAAAGTGAAATCAAAACATGCATATTTTGGTTTTTAACTTTTTAAACTTATTTAGTTATGTTGAAGTTATGAGTCTAGAATTTACAGTTTCTTTATACTTTTATTATTTTGTTTTATAAAAAGTGTCATTTCATTTATCATAAAAGATTAAACAATTAATTTTTATAAGTTCCATAAAAGTTTGGTGTCATGGTTTATCAATTCCACTACTAAGTTAAATGTCCCAACGCGATACTGCTTCAAGTTACGGAGTTCCACGCTGTTATGTTTTTATTTTTTTTATTTTTTATTTTTAAGTATATAAGTTTAATTTCTTATCCCATTCATAAAAAGTAGTTACTCATATTGTAAAAACTTAATGAGAAATAAAAATTGTTAATATATTTTTAACTGGTTTGTTTCTAATAGTCATGTGGCAATTGAAATTCTGCTTTTTTGTAAATTGGCACTTGAACAATTTATCAAGAGGAGAAATTATATTTGCAAATAAACCTATTATTTAAAGTTTTTGACATACCTATGCAATGGCTGAAATCAGTTTACTAGCAATGCATATCTAATGCTTCCAAAGAGGTTGAATTTTCAAATTATTTAAAATTTCTAAACGACAAATGTATAATATTAAAAGTCAGGTTGAGGCATAATTATCGAAGGATTGATGGAATTGCAGAAAATCTAAATGAGGACGAAAAAGTAATGAACTTATTTTGCGAAAAATTAATACGTCACAGGAGGAAAAATTAAAATGGCAAATTGTGGTTAAAGAAAAAAGATCTCGAAACATAGTTTTGAAACTACTGAGATGTAAACATAAGTTTAACATTTTAAAAGAAACATAAAAACTAAAGGGTCCTAATATATGAACTGCTAATTTCAGAAAGGCAACTAGTGCTCGAATTCTCAGACTTATGGTAGAAATCTAGCTTATGAGTTTATAATTTTATATACAATTAACTAGATAGGCTTAAACTTTTCATTTTCATTTCAGTTGCAAGAAAAACTGTTTAAAGATTTACATGGAGGATGACATGATGCTAAGATAAATGATATGAAAACCAAAACTCAACAAGACATCTACATACAATCACTAATAAACTATGCAGTAGATAAAAGAGACACAAATAATTTAGGTAATGGTATTCCTTACACTGTAATCACTCTTTTGGTACCTCATATTGAACAATATCCTACCGAAAGTGAACACTATACTGAAAGAGAAAAAAGAATGATGGCAAGCTAATTTGGATTTAAAAACCATGTGTGAGGTATTGATAAACCACGTGATGTTGATGAAAAGATTTTTTATAACTATTGTTAACAGTGAGAAGAGGTTGTCATATAAATTAGTCTTGCAAAACTACTTAAAAAATGCTCGTACCTGCAAAAGACACATATGTGACTTGTGAGGAGCTTAAGTCCTCGCAGTTGAAAAAACAAAGTTTTTTTCTTAATAAATTAAACAATGAAAAAATAGCCACAATAGCAGAACTTATAGTTCATAATAGGAGAGTTTTACAATAAAATAAAAGATATCACAGGGAAATGCAAAAACAAAAAACACTTTACAAGTTGGATTATGTGTAGATTACATGGCTAACGTGGTATTACTGTGCAGACTAGTGGAAGTTTTTTTGTAAACCTTTAAATTAAAAAATTATTTTAGGAAACTCTCAGTGAACGTCTGCAAAATCCACGACATTGCTTCCCAAAAAATGACTGTTTTTTATTTATCATGAAGCATAAAGGTGATATTATCAACAAAGTATTTTCTATGTTTATGTGGAATATAAAAAAATTTCAGATGAAGTTAAAACTTTGCGCTTTTGTAAAACTAAAAGATTTATCAAATTAAATCTGGCGCTTTCTGTAAGGAGACACCCGTTTATGTCTAATAACAGTAATTTTAAAATTATAAGGAAAAAGCTAATAAAAGTAGAGAAATATTATAAAACTGATAAAGTAATTGATCTGATTAACATTCCTGTAAGGTTTACAGTGAAGAAAACATCATTTGAATATTCCATTGACTTTTAAATTTTTTCTGTTTTCAAGAACATTGAAAAGCAAAAAATAACTTATAAATAGCTTAATTTTTGAGATATACACCCAATAAAATAATAAATAAACTTAATTATATCCAAAATTCTTTTCGTTTCTTTCGAAGAATTTCATTACATTTATTTCAAGTATTTTATTATAGCTATGCAAAATCCTACATACAACTTTCATTATTGTTGCTTGATAAAAGCACTAAAAGAATGCTTAGTGTTGATATATATTAATGTTCATTTTACTATTTGTCTGCATACATATAAGCAAAACTAGTTTCATTAACTGTTGGTTTCTGTAAAATAATCGATCATATGATTTTA